AAATTAAAAAGTTCCAGTCTGGCTGGCTCTGAAAATATTTCTCTGGAGGTTTATGGATGTGAACGAGCCAGGTGAGGGTTTATGAGAGGAAGCCTGCTGGAATTGGGCCGCTGGTATGTGTGTTGCTTTGCAGCCTTTTGTAGTCAGCTGCAAGTCCCTTTGAAGGAAGTTGTAAAACTGAGTAGAAAGGGGTTTAAGGTGGCCTCGTTTCTATACCTGGGGTCTGGAAGCAGGGCTACTTTGAAGCTTGTGGGGGGGGGGTGTCTACTTTCGGTTCCATGATCTTGCTCCCTCCTCTCTCCTGACCGCCTGGTAACTGAGCTGTACAAACATCGACTCCTTTATGCCCTGTTTGCCCCTGGGCTGGGCTTGGAGTCCTTCCTGGCTCCTGTGTAGCAGCTGCCCCCTTCTTCCTTAAGGAGGCCAGTTGTATTGGTTTCTCTCTGTAATGGCTTACTGCAGTGAATTGATGGGGAGGGCGGTACCTAAGCTGTACCCCCTTCTGTTGCTTCTAGAAACTGGAAGACCCCATGGATCAGGAGTCAGCCAGCAGCGTCTCCAGGCCAGTCTCCCTAGAGGAAGGCCTTGTGGGAAATGCCCCACTGCCCAGCAACGGCTGTTGCGTCAGGACAGAAAGCGACATGAGTGTAGGCTGGACAAGCAATGCCGTGGAGACCCCTGTGTACATGTGGGGCCGGAGCATCCTTCCTGCTTATTTGGGGATTGTGCAAATCCAGAAAGATGGCAGACTGGTAAGAACCGAATGTCTGAGTGCTACAGAAGTGAGGGGAGGGGCGCTCCATTTGCTCTACTTACCCCAGGCTCCACCCCTGCTGTGCACCCATCCCCATTCCTCTCCCGCCTGTCCAGCACCCTGGCACATCACGGAATAGTTGATCTACACGGCTCAGAAGGGCCTGGAAGAGCTGCCAGGTGTCTGGTTTTCCACCAGAACGCCCAGTCAAAAAGGAATCCAGAGCCACTGACCGGGCTGGTAAAAGTCCAGCTGACTGTGCAACAGGGCAAAGGTAGGCTCCCTGTCTACCTCCCCTGGCTTCACGCAGCTCCCTGAAGTGGCCGGCATGTCCTTGCAGCCTTTAGCCGGAGGGGAGATCAGGGAAGTTCTGCATACTGCCCCGCCCCCCTCACCAGCTCCACAGCTCCCATTGGCCAGGAGCCATGGCCAATGGGAGCTGCCTAGGGCCAGACACGTGGCCTGCTCGATGCCGTGACGCGGCTGGTAGCCAGGTGGGGGCAGGGAGCCTGTGTCCGCTGTGTTGCACCGCCAACTGGGGGAGCCACCTGAGGTAAGCGCTGCCCACCTGGAGCCTGTGCTTCAACCCCCCTTCTGCACCATTGCCCTGCCCAAAGCCTGCTCCTAGACCCTGCACCTGCACCACACCCCCTTGCCCAGTGCAATGTGCGTGAGGGTCGGGGAGGGAGGGAGGGAGCAGGGCCTCGAGCTGTGTCCGCTGTGTTGCACCGCCAACTGGGGGAGCCACCTGAGGTAAGCGCTGCCCACCTGGAGCCTGTGCTTCAACCCCCCTTCTGCACCATTGCCCTGCCCAAAGCCTGCTCCTAGACCCTGCACCTGCACCACACCCCCTTGCCCAGTGCAATGTGCGTGAGGGTCGGGGAGGGAGGGAGGGAGCAGGGCCTCGAGGAAGGGGAGGGTGCAGGTATTTTGGTTTGCTGTGATGAGAAGGTTGGCAACACTACGTGCTGAGGGGGTGGAGTTGATCAGTGGGCGCTGCAGGTGGGAGTCGGGGGAGGGGGGCGGAGAGGGACTTGTCTGCCAGTGGGTACTAAGAACCTGGTAAGTTCTCTCTGTGGGTGCCCAGCACTGGCCTGAGCCAGGGACCTGTAGAATCCTAACCGGCCTGCTGGGCGATTGCTCTCCTGGTGTGCCCCTGCCATGGCTGGGCTCCACAAACGGCAAGGAAACGGGGTGGCTTTCTTCATGAAATGTTCTGACTTTGCCTGTGGGTCCAGGCTAGCCTGAGTCTGTTGCCCTCCAGGGCATGTTGCAAAGTCCACCCCTTCCCAGAGGCGTGGGGGAAGGTTGGGTTTGGGTGGGAGGGGGGTGCCCTTGTTGAATTGAACTGCCCTGGCTGGCTTTCTATGGACTGAGTGTTTTCACTTTGGCAGTTTGGTACATTTTATGAGTTCCTGTGGCTCGGATTTCAGACTGTGGAGTGCTCTTTTTAGCACAGGTGCAGGAAGGAGGTGGGAGGTGCTGCAGCATTTCCAGGATTTGGGCGACCTGCTGCCCAGGGTTCCAGCCGAGAGTCTCTGCTTCTGCCCCAGGTCCCACTTGGCTGCTGTCCCTGTGTGCAGGGTCTTGGTCGCTGGCCCTGGGTGCTGCTCAGCTGCTGGCCCCACCACTGGGTCCCATATGTGGGGTCCTGCCAGGTCTGGGGTCCTGTCCACTGGCCCTACATGCAGGGTCCTGCCCAGCTGCTAGCCCCAGCCCTAGTTCTAAAGGGAGGGGGGGGGACAGACAGAGGTAAGAGGGCCCCCTCCAAAAACGTGTTCCTGCGGCACTGCTTGGTAGGCATCCCCATCTAAAAAGTGAAACCAATGTTATGAACTCGTTTCTAAGTGGGTTCGTTTGCCCCCGCTAGCGGTGCAGGGCGTGTGTGTTTTCCCCATTACTAACCAACTGGCGGCTTGGTCATTCTGGAAATCCAGCTGTTCCACGAAGCGCGCTTGCTTAGAGCATGCTCCTTTGTTTAGCATCAGGCTTAGCTGCTCCCTGCAAAGAGCCTTGGTGTGTTGAGTTTGCCTTGCAAGAAGAGATCCTCCCCCACCCTACCCCCGGTCCTGTAATCATCAGACTACCAGAGGGAGGGCACTGCGAATTGGCCATGCCTAGAAGAGCACTGCAAAGCTAGTTTCTGATCATGTCATTTAGAGTTGTACAAAGTCGACAGTTCACACAAACAAGTACCTGGCCACAGGCAACCGCGTTTTCTCTCAAGCTGTAACAGGCGCATGGGAGGAAGCTTCCGATATTGATTCCGATACTACTTGCAGCTCTTAGCTAAGGCTTTAATAACGTCCTTCGTTCACAAAGGAGTGTGACTAAGCGCAAACCCTCTCGCTCTTGGGGTTTGGGTAGGGCTCAGGTCCGGTGGGCTTGTTCACAATTGTCCTTCAGCATTTATTTTCAAGTTTGATGGACTCCAATCCCCGGAAGCAACTTAGTGAATATCCATGAATAAAGTACCTGACTTTTTTCTTCCTTTAAAGGTGTATCAAACAAATCAGTAAGTTGGCAAGCTCCCCTGACCAGTCTGAAGTAAGTTGTCTGTTATCTAATACCCGGGTGCAGGGCATGTTTAGTTTATTTACGTTCCGATTACAGTGCAATGAACAATGACGGGTTCCCTAGAGAGGGGGTGGAATTTCCATCCCTAGGGATTTCCAAGTCCTGGCTTGACAAAGCCCTGGCTGGGATGATTGAGTTGGGGTTGGTCCTGTTTTGGGCAGGGGGCTGGACTCGATGACCTCCTGAGGTCTCTGCCAGCCCTAGGATTCTGTGATTCTACGCATCCTGCAGTAGTCGGAGAGAAAGCACAGGGGAGCTGATCTCCATAGTGATGGAGGCTCTGGACCATATTCTGGAGTGATGCTGATTTATGCAGGCTGAGGATTGGGCCTGATGTGTGGCTACAGGAAAGATGAAACCTAAGGCCAGGCCTATACTAGACCCAGAAGGTTGGGTTAAAGTACGCAGCCTCAGCTATGTAAAATACGTAGCAGGAGTCGGCTTACCTTAAGTTGAGCTTGGTGCCATCTTCATAGTGGGAGCCCAACTGGAACAAACACTTCCATTGGCTTCCCTTACCATTCACAACTGCCAGGAGTACCAGCACCAACCGGAGCCATCTTCAGCATTCGATTTAGCGGGTCTGAACTAGACCTGCTAAATCAAATGCCAGAAGTTTGATTTCCAGCATAGCATGTGGAGATGTGGCCTAAGGTATTTCCTCTGCCACGTGTGAGCATCTCTCACTTCTCTCATATCTTTGCCATTATTGCGGGTGAAAACCAAAGGGTGGCGTGATGGTGGGGAGGTGACAAGGAATGAGTCCCATGATAAATCTACCTAGGTAAGGCTCTGAGGGGATCAGTTCTGCAATTTCTTGTTTGGCCTGCTTCTTCTGACACATCCGGGAGGGCCATGGTTGGAGACGGGACGCTGGACCAGGTGGCACTCTCAAGAGGTTGGCTGGCTGGTGCTTGCTCATCTACTCAGGGTCTAACTGATCCCCGTAACTGGGGCGGGAAGGAATTCCCTGTGCCGACCATGGCCAATGCCTGGTGCCCCAGACCTGACCCTTTGCTCGATGGACCTGTGGTCTGACCCCGTCTGGCCGCTCTTCTGTTCTTAGGACTGTGATCTTGGGATGGCTTTTCTCTTCCTCTGCAATATGACAGGTGCCTCACCAAGATGATCTGGGTTTCTCACCTAAATGCTTCAGGGGCATCAGGTTCCTCCAAATCTTGGCCTATGTCACAGCAGTTTAGTTTCCAGGGAGCTGTGATTTTTCTTCATCTCCCTTTGGCAGGGGGGCCGATAGACTTGCCGGGACCCTGGGCAAAGTGGAGGAGGGCCTGGCTCTGTGGTCCTGGAAGGGGAGGGTCTGGGGGCAACCAGCCCTCAGAGCCACCTGGAGCACCAGCGCTCCAGTGGTGATGTAAAGGGCCCCGGGCTCTAGCCGTAAACGCGTACTCTTGGCGAGAATTGCCACTAGAATTTTTTGGTTTTTGTTTCAGGGTAACTTTGCTTCCTAAAACTGCTCCCAAGTTACAGTCTCTTAACCACATTGTCTTTCAGGTGTCAAACACGATGGACACGCGCATGATCTTCTTTTCAAGTGAGATATAGTGAAAAATTGAGTTTCCCTGGATGGATTTTTCTTTATAAAAACTTTAATTTAAAAAATAATCAATAAACCACCAGAAGCGGAGTGTTCTTTCCAGTTTGCAGCTGCATCTTAGCCCAAAGTTTGTTTTGTGGAGTAAGCCCCAGGGACTTTCTGACACAGGGTTTTGTTGGGAAACTCAGATTTATTGAAATACAAAACGTTTTGTAGAAACGAACAGTTTTGAGAGAACTTTCCCTGTGAGCGAAGGGGGGCAGGGATACTAATCGACACACCTGTCCTACGGTGTTTGAAGCAGGGAGAGAGGTGTGTACTAACCACTAAGCTATTGGCCAGTCTAGGGTTGCTCTTTTTTTAAAGATTTTATTTTTGTTCCAGTGGGAAGCAAAAACAAACTTTGAGATCTCCGTTGGTCACAAAAGGATTTTTTTTTCCAGCCAGCCTTTGGAATAAAAGGGATGAATGGAACATTTAATTATTCCGGTGTAGGCCGTTAATATAGGAATCAAATGGACTTGTTCTTAAAAACCTCCTCCTTTATATAAAGTTAGCTCCTGTCCTCTGAATTCCTTTTATCTTTAAACAGAGATGTAATTGCCAAGTAGCATTTAAACCCAAACTTTGCATGCGGGAGTTCTGAGATCCCAGCTCTTAAAACACCTGGGTGTGTCTTTTCAGAAGAGAGGAGCTTATTGATTTCAGATCCAACAGGCTGGCCACCTGTCCTACAGATCACCCCGAAGCATGCCAAGCTGAGGCATGCTCTCCACAGAGCCCAGGCCAGGTGTGTAATGGTGTATCCTGCCTGTCTCGACATGGCAAGGGCAGAGCTCCGTTGTACGGGGCCAATAGCTGGCTGACTGCTGGGGTGGTCTGGTACATGAAGGAGAGGACAAGGGGACCTTTGGCATCTTTGTTCTAACCCTGTCTGGTGCTGCCTTTCTGCAGCTTTGGGCCGAGGAGGGCGCTAGTTAAAACTCCAGTGCCACATCTGTAAAATGTGGCTAGTCCTCCGGGGCGGAGGCCCAATGGGCGTCTTACGCCTTCAAAAGGGTTTTGGCAGATCTGGAGGGTTATTGTATGGACAGGGAGTAAGGGGTCTGAGTGACTTGTACTGCGGGGCCACCGCGAGGCCTGATAGGCCAAGGTCCCGCAGGGCTAGGTCCTGTGGATAGTCTCGCAGCCTAGGCCCCGCCCCTTTTGCGGCGTGAGGGAGAACCTGGCGCACGCCTACCTTGAATGCGCCAGGTTGCAGCCCCTATTCCGGCTCCTCCAGAACCTCTTATTGAGGTTCTGGCTGCACTTTTCCCCTCACCTTTTTATTTATGCACACCCAATCCGTGGCCCCACAAAGTCGCGAGACCTCCTCGTCAACCTCCTCCTGGCCTTGGCGAAAGTTGCCATCTACAACAGCAGGAGGAGGATGCTAGACGAGGGGGTTCTCTGCGACTGTGGGGCCTATTTCCGCTCCTCCCTCGTGTCACGAATCCGGGCAGAGTTCCTCTGGGCGGCGTCCACTGGCTCCATCGACAGCTTTGAGGAGCAGTGGGCGCTGTCCGGGGTTCTCTGCTCGGTGTCCCCATCCGGCTCCCTTATTTTGAACCTCTAGCCCGCACTTCTTGATCCTTTAGTCATTATTTGTCCCAAGAAATCAATTGAACATGGGTCCAGTGTCCCTCCCATAAGGTTGGGGAGGGGCTTTTAGAAGGTGATGGTGAGCCCGCCCACCATCCCATGATTTCAAATAGGTCATTCTACCTTGATACAAGAAGGGACTTAAGCATGTGTTTTAAGTCCATCCCTATTTATGATGGCACTTAAGCTGCGTGCAGGTGGCGGAGTCTCCCTCGGTGCGCCGGAGGCTGATCCTGGCAGAAACCACCATGGTCGGGGACCTCCTGGACTACGACAGGGGGGACTGGGTGGATCCCCGAGCGCTCGCTCAACGCATGGGGCTCTCCACCCTTCGAACCCCCCTGCGCCTACTCCAGGAGGTGAAGGCGGCTTTGTCGCAGCCCGCTCGCGATCTCCTACAGAGAGCCCTGCGAGAGGGAACGCTCCGCCCCTCCCCTCCTGCAAAGCCTCCGTCCCTCTTTATTGGGCCCCTGTCCCGCGGGCCCCCCCGGCCTCCCCACCCTTGGACCCCCAGCCGGCTGCAAAATCTGCAGCCGGTCTGTTTCCGGACCGCGCCCAGGGAACAGCTGTACACGCTCGTGCTCCACGCTTTGCATTTCCCCACCCTCGTGTCCCGCCCCGATACAAAGTGGCGGGACTACCTCAGACCCATAGAGGGTGGGGAACCCCGATGGGCCAGCGTTTATTCGACCTTAATTCCGCGGCCCGTCGGGGACATCAGTTGGCGGCTCCTCCACGGAGCCGTGAGCACGGGCGTGTACTTGGCGCGGTTCACCCCTATCCCAGACACCTGCCCCTTTTGTGGCGTGAGGGAGAACCTGGCGCACGCCTACCTTGAATGCGCCAGGTTGCAGCCCCTATTCCGGCTCCTCCAGAACCTCTTATTGAGGTTCTGGCTGCACTTTTCCCCTCACCTTTTTATTTATGCACACCCAATCCGTGGCCCCACAAAGTCGCGAGACCTCCTCGTCAACCTCCTCCTGGCCTTGGCGAAAGTTGCCATCTACAACAGCAGGAGGAGGATGCTAGACGAGGGGGTTCTCTGCGACTGTGGGGCCTATTTCCGCTCCTCCCTCGTGTCACGAATCCGGGCAGAGTTCCTCTGGGCGGCGTCCACTGGCTCCATCGACAGCTTTGAGGAGCAGTGGGCGCTGTCCGGGGTTCTCTGCTCGGTGTCCCCATCCGGCTCCCTTATTTTGAACCTCTAGCCCGCACTTCTTGATCCTTTAGTCATTATTTGTCCCAAGAAATCAATTGAACATGGGTCCAGTGTCCCTCCCATAAGGTTGGGGAGGGGCTTTTAGAAGGTGGGCGGGCTTTGCCCGCCCACCATCCCATGATTTCAAATAGGCCTAGGCCCCAAAGAGCCAAGGAGTCTCCCGGTGCATATGGGCCCGGCTCTGCTTGTACGGAAGTCGTGGGAGCTCTGCCTTTGACATCCAGGGGAGCAGGTTAAAGCCAAACCCGAGTGCTTGGAAAATCCCGTCCTCCCACAGTCTAGTGCAGGGTGGGTAATAATTTTCGCAGGGGGGCCACTTAATGAATTTTGATATGTGCTATGCGCTGGCTCCACATTCCCCTCCCTCCCAGAAGGGGTGGGGCTTGGGGGGAAGGGGCGGGGCTATGGACAAGCCTCCCCCCCCGAGTTGCCTGGGACTTCGTATTAAAAACACAGCAAAAGGCTCATGGCTCCCATTTCTGGCAGCTGCCTGGGGTTACTGAGGCTATTTCAAGGGCTCGTGGAAATTCGATGGCAGGATATAAATAGAAAGTGGCCAGGTGCAGTCCGTGGGCCGGATCCAGCCCCCAGGCCACAGCTGTGGTGGGTGGATGGGGGGCTCAGCAGCCTCAGGCTCCTGGAGTTTGAAGCGTTGTCCGCAAGAAACAGTTACGCAGCCACCGCAGCAGAAGCCTAGCTCAGAGTTGCTGGGCACAAGCCTGCCGGAGGGCGGCGCTCAGGGTGCCGTCTATACTGGCTCTAGTTCAAACAGAGCCCGCGCGGGTCCGTGTGCACGTACAGGGGGTCTGCCCGGCTAGCTTGGCGTGTGGACTTTGTCTCTGCGTCGAGGCAAGTGAACAGAACTTCAGCGAAACTGTAGAGACGCCTCCCGCCCCCGGTAAATTCCTGGAGCCCCCTAGCAAAGTGCCTTTCCCTAGAGTCCCTTTCCTCACCAAGCGTTTTGTCACCAGAAGCTGCTGGGTAAGGCTCTGCCGAGGAGAACTTGTCTGGCTGTGAGATCGTGAGCTTTGTGTTGACTGACTTAAGCTGTCTTGCGCAGGGACAAGGCCTCCTCCCTCCTCGTGCAGCCCCCGGCAAGCCGGCCGGGCGTTTGTCACTGCAGCGTCTGCGAGGCTGGAGCTTGCCAGCTTTGGGCAGCACACGGGAACACTGCTGAGGTTTAGGAGGGGTGTGAGGGACAGTCCTGGTTGAGTAGAATGAGGAGGAAAACTGATTTGACTGGTGAGGGGAAGGATGGTCGTGGTAAGACAGAGCAGCTGCTACAGGGCTCAGTTAATAAAGAATTAAAGGAGGGTAATTAATGCCAATTAACATGGGTTTCTAGAAAATCCTTTTTTTGATGAGCTTCCAAGTTCAGCTGCTGAAGGTAATAGAGTTATGTACTACCTGAGTTTCTGTAAGGCAAGGTAGTACATTGGACCTGGTTCTGCAAAATGTTTTCCTTTCTATATATTAAAGAAAACGTTTCCTACGGGACCACAGAGTGAGGTCATGCATCACTCTGCGTCTCACAGCCCCTCTCGCCACCCCACCCCCCATGCTTGGGGGAACTGCGAGCCACGCAGACCGCAGCCTACCCCGCCCCCATTGCTCGGGGGCAGCGGAGGGTTGGGCTTGGCTGCGCCCAGCTTCGACCCGGCCCAACCACCCTGTGGCCACGGGGAGACGGGCCAGGCAGGCCTCTGGCTGCACCCCAGTCTGGGGGGAGTAGGGTTGGTGGGGGAGAGAGAAGGGGTACAGCGGCGGGGGGAGGAGAAAGGGGAGTTTGGGTGAGGGCAGCGAGCAAGGACACAGCCCCCTGGTATTTTGTTTTTTAATTTAAATCTAGACTATGAAATGAAGTCGGTGCACATTACCCACTGGCAGAAAGGCCTCTCTGTACTTGCTAATGACAAGCCAGCTCTGAGCAGCTGTGTTTCTAGTGGGGTCTCATGGTTCGTAGCTTTATGCTATTTAATGTTTTTAGCTCTGTTGGCTGTCCTGAATGATACGGGGTCCCTTCTGGCTTTGAAATCTGTGGTGGGGCGTCTATGGTGGGGCACTAAGCAGGGAGACATGAGTTCAAGTCCTCCCTCTGCCACAGACTACACATGGGACTTTGGGCTGTCACTTAGCCTTTCTGTGCCGCTGTCTCCTATCTGTACAACGGGGATAATAGCACTGCCCTTCCTCCCAGGAGTGCTGAGGGAAAAACACAGTGAAGAATGGGCAGTGATCAGATACTATGGGTGAGTGGGAGCATGCAAGTTCCTTAGCTCCAACGGAGAAGCACCATCTACGCACATGCTCTGCTGGCCTGAAGTCCCCTGTACAGACTCTCAATATGGACAAAATGGCCAGCCCGTCTAGGGAGCATGGAAATAGAAGTGGCTGGTTTAAAACCTGAGTGCCACGTCCCTGGGGAAGGCGTACACAGAGCACCAGAGGTAAAAGGCACTGCCAGGCACAGTCCCTAACCATCTGCACTGTGCCAGACGGGCAGCCCAAATCTTAGCTTTAAATGCTGGATCTGAAATCGCTTGTCTCACACCATTGCTTGGGGGGAGAGTCAGGGTTAAACTCCGTCTCTCTTAGGGCTTTCTACTCCTACCTGTCCCCATAGTATCTGTGCACTGGCTCTGAGTGCCTGTAGCCTGGCACAGGTCACGGATCCTTCCAAGCCCTCACGCCTGCTCTCAGGGGCATGTGGCCACGCCTCTTCTGCACCAGCCCGAGCTGGTTAACTCCTAAGCAGCAATGCGCGCCCTTGGAGCAGGGGTCATAACGTTCTCTACGACCTCCCAGCCCAGTGCAGTCGGCTCCCAGCCAGCGTGCACCATGGAGCCACGGCTAACTGAGGGTGCATCACCACAGCACCGGTATTTCGAGATAACCATGCGAGCGTCTACACGGCCATTCCGTTATTTTGAAATAACAGCTGGCTTATTCTGAAACCGGGAAGCCTCATTCTATGAGGAATAACACCTATTCTAAAATAGCTATTTCGAAATATGGCATGTGTAGATGCGCCACTGCAGCTATTTCCAAATAGCCCCTCCCCAGGGCTTCCTGGGTCTCTAAATCGAGATCGCATGTCTACGTTAGGGAACCTGGCCTCGGACTCATTTTGAGGCTTCCCTGCAGTGTAGACGTGCTATGTCGAAATAAGCTATTTCAGAATAACTATTCCCGAATACCTAATTTTGAAATAAGCGTGCACTGCAGACATAGCCATAGAAACATCCAGTGTGGGTCAGCAGCCACTTTGTGAAGGTTGCCTCAAGGAAAAGTCCTTACTGCAATAACTGGTCCCTGACTGTCCCACAGAGATGGGACAGGCCCAGAGGGCTTCTGAAAACACGTCTGTGTCTTGATTTTTGATATTGAAAACATCAGCTGGCTGAAAAAATGGAGGGGGCTGTAAATAAGAGAGGAAGTGCTAATGTGAAACCTCGTGGTATAGGATAAATAGAATAATTCTCACCCGCCCAGCACCTTCTTGCGGCTGGCGCAGGCTTGTTCCAGAAGCTGATATTCCTACTCCTCTGACTATGGGCGTTGCATTGTGTCCCTTGGGAGACTTCTCCACCATCCACCTCCCACGCTCAGGGAGAGGCCGATGGCTTTTTCCAACACCAAAATAAAAAAGCCGCTAGACAAAACTCCTGGCTCTCCACAGCTTTGGTTAATTTGCAGTGGAGGGATTAATTGGTGGGCTGCATCTATATAAAAACATGGTCATAAAAATGTCTCGTTGCATCATGTTTTCCACACTGCAGCAAGGGAGAGCTGGTCCGGGGATTGCAGTTCCTGCTGTGGGGGACATGGGCCACTAGAGGGTGCCTGGAATGCACCGGGAGTTGGCCTTTTGTCATCAGAGGTATTGTCAAATAGACGCCTTCCCCTCACACATCATGTGAGCCCTGGATTTAATTTTGATGCCCACGTAAGGAGGGTGGGAGGCGGCGAAGCCTCACTCCTGCATTGCCCCCCAAGCGTGGGTGAGAGCCCGAATTCTCCTCCAACTCTGTCTGGGCGAGGTTGGTCTGGCAAGCGGACTAGCAGGCGGGTGTGGTACAGAAACTGCTGCAGCTGACCTGTCAAATCAGGGAGGCTGGAGGCTGGATGGAACAGGCTCATCTGCTTAGCTGTTTTGATTAGAAAGGACCAGGCGAAGAGATTAATCACTGCAGATATCGGGGCTGGGAGACAGACGCTAGAAGATGCTTAGAGAGGTAAGCTATTTTGGACTCACTCCTTTGACTGGCCTGTTTGCAGATCTTCTATCTATGGGGATAATTGAAGCTAGGTTTCCTGGCTCATTGCTAAACCCAGGCAGGGCTCTGAATAGCAGTGCTCTGGGGTGACTTTGTGCAGAGCGCTGTTTGTGTTTGAATTTAATTCCTGACAATTTAACATGGTGCATTGTCTGCCACCTGAGGTGGAGTCTCATGCGTCCGGCCAAGTAAGGTGACAGTCGGTGTGCAAATAGAATACTCCAAAAGAGCAATTTGCAAAAGACACCCACCCCCCAACTGGCTTGTGTTCCAAATGGCTGCAACAGGAGATCTTGTTGCGTGTTTTAATGGGGACACAGGAGACACCACACATCAGACAGCTGAGAATTCCCCCCAGTTGCTTTTATTTAGGGACAAAAAATGTTTTTACTCTGGTGAGCCTGCTGCACGGCTCCCGCATCGTTTGATCTCAGGGAATCCCTCTTGTTTCCTAGGCAGCAATTTGTGCCCTGACACTAGGCTGTGGAGGGGCTGCAGCCAAGTGTTGTGCTGTGTTGTGTTGTGTAGCAGCTGAAACCATCTGATGCGGAGATTAATAGCAGTGATTCACGGGATGTGCTTGGTCCTCTACCTTTTTCCAGGGCAGTTGAGAGAGAGAGAGAGGCTTTAAAATCACTGGGGGTTGTGTTGGGTTTTTTGGGTCCCTCCTGCATCTTTTAGTTTTTTGCTTCTTGATTCCCACTGTCAGGGTTTGGCTTTCCCCTCTGAATGCAAATCATGTTCTTTTGTCCTCCCCCTCTGAAGCTTGATACATTTATCTCTGTGACACAGGGGGCACCACCCATCTGCTCACTTCTCCCCCTCCTCCCCCCGCCCCCACTTCTTTACAGTTCTATAAAGTACCATCAGATCAGCTGGTCCCCACAGACGATCTAAACCAACAGCGTGTCTCGTGCCTGAATTTGGCACTTCAGAGGTTCCAAGTCCATGAACTGCTCTCCTTTCCTAGCGTGGTCAGAGACAATACAGTGAGGGTAGGAGTTTAAATGAAGCTGTATCTGCCCATTTACATCAAAACATAATGATGGGCTTTTGTAAGTACTCAGGCACAGGGATTCACTTAGAGGGTTGTTCTGGGTTTCTCTGAATATCTGTAAACTAGGGATCTCCTCCTGCCTCTCCCATATAGCTTGATTTTTAGGTTAATTCTTGGGAAACCAGATCACAAAACTCTGCGCTCCCAGGCGCTGAATGAGGGGGCTTTGAGGATGGAAATCAAAGTTTCTGTACACAGCAACATTGTACGTCGTACAGGTCTGAGTTCCAAAGGCCATGTCCGCAGAGCACCGCCCGCCACTCACCCCGCTACAGCTTGGCGGGGTGTGTAGGGTTGCCAGATGGTTTCAACAAAAATACCGGACACACTTGCCATTACGTAGCAAGCTACATTCCATCTTCTGTAGAAAATACTGGACATTTATATTTTCTCACTTATATTTTCTCAACTTGTTTCCCGAACAGAAAGCTCCAATACTGAACTGTCCGGTTCAAAACTGGACACCTGGCAACCCTATGGGTGTGTGAAAAGTGGAGGTGGTTGTGTAGATTCCTGGGCGTTGAATACCATCGCGTCTGCTCGGAGGAAGATTAGGGGCACCGGTAGAAATGCCAGCGTCTTAGTGACATGCAGGCCTGGTGAGAGAAATTTGAGCCCCTAGTACAGCGTGGTCACTACATTTCACTTTATTTATGCTGCTAATTTTGGGGGGGAAGCCTGAACTCTGAGCCTCAGTCCAGTTATTCCCCCACCCCCTTTTCCCATTCTCATCAGCCTTGTCTACATGTCCTCTTCCCTGAGCAGCGTGAATAACAGGCCCTGATTTCCCAGGGTAGTCAGTACCATGGCGACTGGGCGGGGTCTCCAAGTTCTCATGGGAACAGGAACATCCCCCATCAGGGCAGGGAAAACGACCAAGGCTGTCCCCTAACGATGCCTGGGTAATATTTATTTTCAAAAGCGCTGGCAGGACTTTGATTTCTGAATCCCAATGGAAGTTCAAACCCCCTTGAATGCAGTGGGAGCAAAGGACTAAGACCTCAACTATTTCTGCACATGTTGCCTGTCATCTTTCTTCATCAAAATCTTTTATCCCAGATTAAAAGCGAGTGGTGACCATTTTTAGCCCTCTTGCAGTGTTCCTTCATTCCTAACTCAGGGTGAATCTCTCGGTTTCCATGTCAACTCTTTGATCGGGCTTGTCGATGTTACCTATTCATTCCTCAGTGTGGAAATCCCCATTCACACCTGTCAAACAGCCCGGTCCATAGCAACATATGTTTTTCTGAGTTAACAGGTGGGTAGGGGCAAGGGGATGAAAACTGTCCTAAATGATTAGTGTCAAATAAGCTTGGGGCATCACAGTGCTACTGAGGCTAAACTCGGCCATACACAGTGTTCCTCCTTCATGCATGGCGTGTGGGAATCGGGAGATGTGAACTGCCTGGCTGGAGTTTGGCCCACATCTCCGTTTTCAGACCCACGCTGATACGTGAAGCACCTCTTGGGAAGTCTCTGGCCAGTAGGGTTTTTACTGCAGAACAAGGGAGCATGCCAAATCAAAATGACTTTCTCCTGAACTCTAATCACATACAACTATCCCCCTGAGCTCCCAATCAGAACTCGTGCTGTCTGCCGAGGGCGAGAGGGGCAGGTAGGTGCATGGCCTTCAGACCAGCAAAGCTCTGGGAGGACAAAGCGTTTGGGTGGGGCGTGAGAAGAGATCCACTGGAGTACACTGTAACTGGCACTCAAGAAATGTGGCTTACATCTAGGTCAGCGATGGGCAGTGGCCATCCTCCATCTCCAGGGGCTGCAAAATTGTTGTGAGCAAGACGGTCTCCTGGGACAGGGCAGGGTTGCTCATTGCGCTTGCGCACATAGAAATTGCAGGCGGTGCCGACTGAACCGTAGCCGCGCTGTGATTGGCTGCAGAGGGAGCGCGTGGTTCTCACAGTCAGTGCTGTTTGCGATCAGCCCGCCACTCACTCCACGTGCCCTGGCTTTCTGTGGGTATCGCTTTAGTAATCCCAGTAGGGCATAAAAAGCTCCATGGATGGAAACCAGAGGAATCTAGCAACCCTGGGCGTGGCCATTAGTAAACGAAATGTCGTGTGGCTCACACATAGAACCCACAGCAGTAAGGAGTTCAGGTTACTCACCTCTCATCTAGGTGATCAATACACAAAACAAGAAGTGGGTTTGTTACCAGCCTCCCTTGTTCTCTGAATCTTGGATTCCAAACTGATTGTTGCTGATCTTGTTCCCCAGACCTTGTTCCCTGCTGATAAAGATGGGCTGAGACGCTAATACGCAGTAAGCCCAGAAACCATACACATGCAGCTGTTTACGGGCACTATTCCTTAATCCTCCTGCACTAGTTCCTAGAGACGCCCCCCCCCCACTGACACCCCCATTGCATCTGGGCAGCCTTACCACTGCAGCTGCATGAGCAGGCCCCTAAGTGATCAATTACATAGTAATTAACACTGTGCCAGTTGCTATCTATACACAGTCTTTCCCTCAAAGGTTACAGCCTCTACAGCTGAGACGGGAGGATGAAACAAATTGCAGGCATCAGTGAAAGTTAACCATGAATCTCTGCTCATACTTCGCAAATGCAAGGGGCAGCTTCTACACTGCCCAGCCAGGGTGTGACTGCACCGATCTACCGTTAAATACCCCTTTGGAACACCTGCTCTTTAGTGCGACAATTTAGCAGTTTTTTTATGATCAGCAGAGCCAGACTGAATAACTATGCAATTGACAATAGACGCACAGGTGTTGAAAAGATTTACTGTGGGCTGCTCTAAAACCTAATTAAACAAAGTCCCGTATTTCAGACACCTTTGAAAAACTGAAGATGCTATTTACCTTGACTTGGTTGGTTCTTTTTACCCCTTTTATATGGATGGTTGGTGGTGGGAAGTGACACCACAGAGCTAGTGACTGAGCTGGCTTCACGTCAGTGCCCTCCGGGTGTGTAAGCTCTTGGATAAATTCTCCGTCTCATTCATGAACTTTAACCCTTTGCTGCACAGAAATCAGAGAAACCAGGAGGCAAGAAATAAAGGAGTCTCTTGGATACTCTTGCTCTCCTAGGTTTTGCTGCAGAGCTATGGCCTTAAAACCAGGACCAGACTTAAGGGGAATTCAGTTCTTGGAGGTTACTACTTAGGCCAAGTCTACACTATGAGAGAAAGCCGAACTAAGATACACAATTCCAGTTACATGAATAACCTCGCTGGCAGTCAACATACCTTAGCTCAACTTATGGTGGCGTCCCTGTTTCAGGAAACTCTCCCATTGACTTCCCTTACTCCTTGCAACACGGTGGAGTACTGGAGCCAATGGGGGTACAATCAGAAGTTAATTTAGCCAGTCCCTATTAGAATGCCAGGAGATGGATCTCCGCAGCGTGGATCTCCTGGCAAGTGGAGACAAGCCCTTGGTCGCAGTGTTTCATGGCTGGAGTCCATCTACCAACAGGAGTAGAAGAGGTGAATCAGGGTTTACCTGAGTTTTTGTTTGAGGTGCCACCAGTCATAGGTCTAGACCTGTGTGAGTTTGTAACTTGCTCCAGTCTCTGAGTTGTCTAAGCTTGGGATTAATTTTCCAACCTCTAATGCGTTGTGCTGTTGCAGCTAAGGTATGTTTCCCGGGCAAAAAGGATGTGAACAGACCTTTGGAGACTGTGCTATTGAAGAGCTGCCATCTTGGATTTTGGTGTCAAGATGGAGACCGCACCTGCCCCAGTGTAGGAGGCAACGGGTGAGAGACTCGGGATGAGCATTGCCCTGACAATTGATGCAGGGTAGTTGCAAGGTTGCCTGGCATTCCTTCCTCTGGTGTGCTGACCTGTACGGACGCATCAGTTCTCCACCCAGCATAACAATTGAATGTGTAGCCATTGTGATAGGTCTCCAAAAAGGGCAGGGGG